GCTGACTTATTTTTTTATTTACTTTTTTTGTAGTAGGAGAATAAATTCAGTGTGGAGACTTATCATGGGTGTAACAACCAGTATAGATAATGTTATGTGTGTGTTATACTAGGAAACAATTGGAGGTCTGGTCTGATTGTAGTGCTAGGCCACTTTGTAAATAGGGAGGCACTCATATGTTGTATTAGTACTAGTGGAATGTAATGGGGAGCTGATTCAGTCCCTAAGTTTCTGAATTTCTGCTCAAAATACTCAGATAATCAATCAAGTGGGATATGAGATTAATCAAAAATTCTTTCTTTGTTTTCAGAATTAAGAGATTTCTCACATAATTGTAATGCAAGGGAACAAACATATCAAAGAGAAGTGATCAAGCTGCAGATTTGGAAGATACTAGAAATGCTTATGTTTGTAGCATTTTACACGGTGGGTCTGTTTCATAGACTACTTACGGATAGCAAATGGAATCTAGTAATGTTTCTGAATAATTAACCAACAATTTTAATTTATATCAGGAAGCAAATTAAGATATTAACATTCAGGATACATAGAACATAAAGTACAGGGATCTTTAATTCATGGGTGAATGAATATGAAAGCAACATGTTGAAGGCATTTTTCCTTATAAAGTGATTACAGTATCATTTATTATTAAGTTGATACATAGCTGCAGAGCTTCTGCTTAATTCTCTGGGCCCCACCAAACTCCAGTGCATCTTTAAGTGAAACACACATATAGGAATGCTATGAAAAGAGCTGGTTTAGATAAAGTCAGCCAGGAGGAAGTGTTCTCCCCATTCATTGTGATAATTATATCTATTTTACCAGGGGAGAAATTCTCTTATTTTGAAAAAAAAAGCTTAATAATTTTCTGATTAAACACATCTGAGAAGTACTTCTGTGTTTATATTTAAGGCAACTCAAAGAGAATTTTGTAGCTGTTCTCTCAGGGAAAGCTGCTATTCTGAAGGATTTATACTGGAGATAATAATAGGCTTAATTTGTATTGTATTTAAACATTGATCAAAGCATTTTCACATATATTCTAGCATTTGATCCCTTGTACAGCCCTGTAAGATGGGTTAAGTGTGTATCCTAATCCCTTTTAACAAAGGAGGAAATTCAGTCACTGAGGGGCTAGGTGATTTGTTAAAGGATATGCTCTGAGTAACAGACCTAGAAGTCGTGTCCTGAGACACCCAGATTCTCTGCTCTCAGATCTCAAAGACCACTTTTGAACATAAATGCAGTTACACACCCCTATATCCAGCTGCAAAGCAAGATCAAACAAGGAGCCCTTTAAAATACTAATTCTGGAACCTCATACCTGTAGTTTCCAATTCAGGTCAAGTGTGACAGCCATTAAATTTATTTTGAATATGACATATATGACTTTGAGTCTAGCTAACCAGCATGATTGGATATCCACTCATTCCTTCATTCAACATTGTTCTCTGTGAATTTTACGTTCATGTACTTTGCTTGTGTCTCTATTAGGTTCTTAGGCTTTTTCAAACTTATTTTTCTTTCTTTTTTTATTGAAATATGGTTGATATGCAATATTAGTTTCATATATACAACAAAGTGATCCAACAATTATATACTAATTATTCTATAATTTAAAGTTTGTACTTCTTTATCCTCTTTACCTATTCTAACCATCCCTTTACCCCTTCCCCCATGGCAACCACCAGTCTGTGCTCTGTGCTTATGAGTCAATTTCTGTTTTATTTGTTTGCTTGGTTTGGTTTTTTAGATTCCACATATAAATTCAATTATACAGTATTTGTCTTTTTTGTCTTTTTCACTTAGCATAATATCCTCTAGATCCATCCATGTTGTCACAAATGGCAAGATTTCATTCTTTTTTATGGCTACATAATATTCCATTACATACATGTACATCTTCTTTATCCATTCATTTATTGATGGGCACTTTGGTTGCTTCCATATCTTGTCTATTGTAAATAATGAGATAAATGTAATGCATAGATCTTTTTGAATTATTTATTTTGTTTCCTTTTTATAAATTTCTACAGTGGAATTACTGAGTCATATGATATTTCTATTTTAGTTCTTTGAGAAACCTCCATACTGTTTTCCATATTGGCTGCACCAATTTACATTCCCACCAATAGCTTGGGAGGGTTCCCATTTCTCCACATCCTTGCCAACACTTGTTATTTTTTTATGCTTTTCTAAAAAAATAGTCATTCTGATTGGTGTGAACTGATATTTCATTGTAGTTTTTGGTTTGCAAATTGATTAGTCTTTTCTCAATAGCTTTTATTGAAATAGTCAAATTTATTGGTGTTTTTCTTATGTCTCACATACTAAGAACTTTGCCAGCTCAGATTAACATAAAAATCCCCATTTATAAATGAAAAAGCCACTTTATTTCTTAAAACAAAATAAAATCCATAGCTAGAAGAGAACTTGTAAATAGATAATAAACTTAGAGATGCTCAACATGACTCATAAATAAATGCAGATGAAAGAAACAAGATAACTCTTTTACTCTAGAATTTATAAAAGGTACAAAAGTTCATGGTAAGTGGCACTGGTGAGAATGAGAGGAAGCAGTACTTTTATATAATGTTGGAAAGAGTGCTACTAGTACAGGGTCTTTGGTAGTGAGACTGGAACTATTTCTCAAAAGTAAAAATGTATGTTCTCTCTGATCTAACAGTACTACTTCTTGGGCGTACATAAATCTGGGCAACATTGATGTTGTAGTATGTATATTGCAGCATTGTTTGTAATAGGAATAAAAAGAGGACATCTGGGCATAGACAGTTAAAGAAATCAACATACATGCATAAAAGGAATTATGCATTCATAGAATCATTGCTCATATGTGTTTACATGGATTGGCCTCCACAGTATATTAGGGCTATTAAATCTTAATTAAGATTAAAAGTAAAAATTATATACATTATGTTCCCATTTGAGTATAAAAAGGTGTATGAAAGTAGAAGTATACGTCTATTCCTATGTATACATAGACTATTTTTGTAAGTATAAAGAAACTATTAATTGTCATACAGTTGAGAAGGAAAACTAGAAATTGAGATAGGAAGAAAACTAAATTTTATATACATTTGTACCACTTGAATATTTTGTAATGTATATTAGTTATTTTTCAATATACCATAGGTAATTAAAGATAAGGAATTTGATGCTTAAAATAATTGGCAAATAACCTGAACTGGGTATATTGTAAAATAAATTTTCTCCAGTTTAGTTGTACTTTATTATGGCATCAGTCATATGCAACTGATGTAACAAAACCACATATTTTCTTAACTATCACATATATTTTATGATAATTCTATCATTTGTATTTTAGAAATGTAATTATAAGTTAGGGAAATATCACTTAGCAGTCTGTAATTTTCTAGTGGATCCATGTTAGCTGAGTAATACTGGTTGAGGCATAGGGTTTTCAAAATTAGAGTATGTCAGAACTATGAAGGACCACAAACATTTTATAAACCAACTTTGTTTTGGAGATGAAGAAACTGAGACCCAGTAGGGTTTTTTTCCTCCCATGTTAGTTCCTTCCACTCAAATGGTAAAATTTAGGATGAAGTACAATTTAATACTAAGTAAATTGATATAGTGAGAGTCAGACAATACTAAATATTCAGACCTCCTCTTCATTAGCTGACTGTCCATCCTTGGACAAGTCTCCTGTCCTCTCCAGGCTCAAGTTCTTACAATTTGGGAGTGATTGGTTGAACCCAATGATACTGTTTGCACCCATTCTATATTGACTGAAAATAATTTAAGAAATCTACCTACTAATTCAGGACCTCATTAACTTTATTACTGCCTCTAGATTTGTAAACACCCCAATTTTCTGAAATTTCCAAATTTATGTAAATGCTCCCATCCTTCAAAAGTCAAGCTATGTTAAATCAAACATTTGTTTCAACAATTACTTTGAGGAGAACATTTTTGTAGTTCTTAGAAACCCTTGGTTGGTGAAGAATTCACATCTTCTCTTTAAAGTCTTCAAATATAGCTCAAGCTCATGTGAATCTTCCTTTCTTTATTACTTATTTCACAACTGTCTAAGTCATGAGATGTTCTTGTATTGTTTTCTTGTTATTTAACATGGCTTGTTCCACAGCCAGAGCCTGTTTTATTTTTCCCGTTGCATGTGTCTAATTAGCACTTGTGATTTTAGCAGTAGGTTCAGAATAATAGTGAATGAAGTCAGATATTTCAGACTGAAAGGAAAATTTTAGGTTGTAATGCAGACCAAACATTGAATTTTCAGTTGCCAGGAAATTGTTGTTTAGGTGGGATGTAACATGAAAAGCAGATACAGTGATGTGTTCCAGTTGGGACATGGGTACATTGTGGCAGGTAAGCCTGTCCTCTGCAAGGAGAGAAGAGGATAGAGGAGTCAGCGGAATGCTGAAGTGGACTCATGACTCAGCAACCAATGCCCCTCTGGTGACGCTCCTCAGGGACATAAATCTGAGTATACCCAGGCATTTAACTGAGTGTGGTATTAGCTTTGCTAATAACTTTCTCCAATCACAAGGATAATAAAAATTAAAATATAGTTTCTTTTCATATTTTTGAGAAAATTAGTTCCTCTAGGTTTTAACATTTGGAGTATACAAATTTAGATTCCTTTTCCTAAAAGTAGGTCATTAAGTAGAAAATAAATACATAATCTGTATATAGTCCTCAAGAGTTTATTAATAAATCTGCTACTTAACACATCTCCCCCAAGAGCTCTTAAATGAAGTCTTCCATGATTAAAGATCAACATTCTGAACAGTTGAAACATTCAGGATTCATAGTGGTGCATTTAGACATCACATTGCTTTTCTATATACAAAGTCCACAAATGTACTTTGAGAAAATTTCTATCCAAATTATTTACTCTTATAATTTGTCTGCTTTTTACCTTTAATTTTATTCGTATTTTGTACCGGCTTCAGTGTTTTAAGTGACATAACAATTTTGCTCTTTTCCTGCAGGCAGAATTCACAGCCATGCGGGAGCAGTACATGCGAGGCGGGGAGGGGTTCATCATCTGCTACTCTGTCACTGACCGCCAGTCATTCCAGGAAGCTGCCAAGTTTAAAGAGCTCATTTTTCAGGTTCGCCACACCTATGAAATCCCCCTGGTACTGGTGGGTAACAAAATTGACCTGGAACAGTTCCGTCAGGTAAGTGTCAATTTTATTTGTTGGTTTCTGTCTTTATAGTACCAAGTATGTCTGCTTTCCAAGGTTCATATTGAAAATTATGCAAAAGAAATGTACACATGATTTTTGCACTAAATCTTTGAAGTCCTGTGGTAGATTGTGTTATCCACCACAATATAACCCATTTCACATGCTATTTTGTGTGTCCTTACCAATCCCCTATCAGCGGGCATGGTGTGTTTTTCCCATTCCTAGATCTGGGCTGGCCCTATGGTTTGTATGAAGGAGTAACTCTAAAAATGATGCTGCATAATTCTGAGGCTGAACCTTGAAAGTTCTTCAGGTTCTGCCCTGGCTATTTGAAAATACTTGCTCTTGGGGTCTAGGCACCATGTAAAAATCTCAAGCTAAACAATGTGAGCAAAGCAGCTAACCTCAGCTATCTCTGCCAACTTAACACACATGTGGGCAAGGCATTGTGCACGTTTCAGCACCAGCTGCCATCTGACTATACCTCAGAAGATACCCTAGCCAATCCATATGAAACAGAAGAATCTCCCAGCTGGGCCTTGTCTGGATTTCTGACCCACACACTTACGGGCAAAATAAAAAAAAATGGAATTGTTTAAGCCACCATGTTCTGAACTATTTTCCATGCAGCAGTAGATAATCAGAACAGGATCCCTCCCATCTTCCAGAATGAGAACAAGTGATTACTACTTGGGTTCAATAGGAAATGAGTCCTCTATACATCAATCTGCTTCAAGCTATCCCTCTGTACTAGTGTGATCCTCAGTCTCATAACTTCTCCAATGATAATGCAAAACCCATATCTAGTTTAGACTGTGATCACTACTAGATTTCATGTATTATAGTAGAATATATAAGTATATATATATTATGTATATAAGATGTTTTATAGTCATTACAGTTTATACACTATCAGAACAGGATGGGAAAACTATGATAGCCTCATCTCTGAGATCTCTACAGGGTAATGATACTTCAGTTGTCCTTAGTACTCCTAAAGAGATTAAAAGACAAAAACCTAAATTGGGGAGTAGGCAAATCATCTCATAATTCCATTGCCATGACTCATTTTTGTACAAAGTTACATTACTGACAAGTTGCATGCAAAGCAAATTTTTATAAGTCAAATTCTTTAAATCGAGTAGCTTACTTATATTTGAGATGCTTCATCGTTATTTGCATTAACCTTGAATTTCAGCTGGATTTCAATGGTTTCTGTTACTCCAGCTAATGATTTATTTTTAGACTGCTTAAAGTAGCCTGCTAATAAAACCTTTTGCTATGGTAAGAATTTTCACTAAAACACTTAGTTTTGTCCTATTTTAAGTATTTTATATATTTGGATATTTTTATCTAATGTGTTTTAAGTTTTCATAAAGTGAAAACATATAGAGCCAGTGTTTATAAATGTATGCTCCACATAGAAACATATTCCTATGATTTGGGGCAAGGCATTTTTGTGGTGACATTTTCATGTATTTCATTTGAAAGTCTAAGTATCTTAAAGTGGCAGCCAACTATTTTTTAAGAGGTATAATATTTGTTTGTCTTCTCTGCCCTTGTTATGTCTTGCTTTGTTGTTTCTCTTTCTCCAAAGCGATGTTTACTATGATATGGTTATGTTAGTATAGGATAGGAATTCAAGTTTATTTTATCAGCTAAATATGTATCTATTCTCAGATACTTGGCAGAAAGGAAAAAGAGAGTTATAGATTTAGTGGTGAACCCTTCAGATCCTCCTTGGAGGAGAGGGGATATTCTAATTTTGGGGGGATTTCTGGGAAGTGGGATGAGGGAGCACTCTGAGATGCAAGTGTACCATCAATGATCATGTGACCAGCTTTGTTGCATTTCTCAGGGTTTCTAAAGAACAAAAACCTTTATTTGGATGCCATTCAAGAGAGTTACAGGTGATTCTGAGAGAGCTGGTGAATTTGAGAACATTAGGGAAACTTCTTCAGGCAACCATAAATAAGATTATTCCTAATATGGGTTGCTCTCCATGATTCCAGTGCTGGCTGGCATTTGCTTTCCCCTCTCCATCTTGTTCCTGACTCTGCTTTCCTAGGCTCAAAGGTGGTCCCCTGTATCTCCATGTTCTCCAGAACCCCTATTTCAGCCTGGGTAATTTCACATTAGCCGTGATGTGAATCAGAAGCATCACAAGTGTCTCTGAAGCAAATACCAAAAAAGACATTAAGCTGAGTAAAAGCAGATTTAACAGACTTCTCCTTTTAGATAAAAGCAAGTAAACAAGATGGTCACAGAAAATGCAAAAACCATGAAAACTCAAATTACATTCTTTTTAAATATGCTCATGTACCAATGTCTCCTATAATGAAGTGCTGATATGTAAATTTGGCTTCTGGCTGTGGTGTTTGTGATGGAAATAATTATTCCTATAATTGGAGAGTGGTTTTTCCTTTTCAAAAATACTTTCAGTTCACACTTTATTCTAATCATACAACTGTCCTGAGAAGTTGTAAGGCAAGCATTCGATGGATGGTCACATTTAAGGACTTAATATATTGATAGAAATTGACTTCCATAAATGATTGCTGTTCTTGACAAAATTAAGACTAAAACCTAGATGATATATACTCCTTTTATGACATCAGTATTTAAAAATTAGGTATCTGATTTTTTTTCATCTAAAACAACCAAAAAAAATGAAGATGTTAACACCTCATCATCTATAGCTCCAAGAAGTTTTATGAAGATTCATAGAGCAATAAACTCAAAGACCTTGAAGGAAACCATCCTAGGTTTTTGTTTATTGCTGAGAGGCAGGGAAGTTGTTTTCTCACCGATCAGCTCTTCTTCCTCAGTCTACACTGAAAGAAGATGAAAGGAAAAACTGCTGATGATGAAAGCTGTTTTTATTATATTTGTTTGGTAGAGTAGGTGGTTACATTCCTAATGTGTTTTGGTGACTCCCAAATCCTTTTCTACCAGGAAAAATAAGTGATATTTTTATCATCATTAACATCTTTGAGCTAAAATTTTGAAGGGCTCTGTATAAAGGGTAGCACTTTATCAGGAAATGGTACTCATTTTGATGCTGACGATGATCATTTAGTATTTGCAAGGCTCTGCGTCAGGTGCTTAACACACATAATTTTATTCAATGCTCACCACAAGCCCATGAAGTAGGTTCCTTTGTTATACCTATTTACCTAGGACACAACTGAAACTTCAGTACATTTAGAGCTCGCTCAAGATTACACAACTAGTTAGGGCTGAGACACAATACCCAGTGTGCTCTGATTTGAAATCTCACTGTGTTGTACTATTGGCCTGCAAACCATTGTTATTTTTCTCATGAATTAGGTTTTTATATCAGCTCTAGGATCTTAGCATCATGCTCTTCAAAGAATGGAACATAAGCAATTAGATTCAGTTGGTGAGTTGGAGGAGATGGGATCAGAATGGTAACTCATTGGATGGTAAGTGGGGAGCTCTAGGCCTTAAACAAGCCAGTAATAGCCAGAACTTGGTGGGGGGGGGGAAGAATGTGAGGAAATATAGAGTAAGGGAATGAGGTTCAAAACTACTAAAAAGCATATTTTCTAATTAGCTGAACAATTCTGACCCAAGTCCATCCAGACTATTTTAAGGCCTTTTTTTAAAAATTCCCAGACAACATTAGTTCCTGAGCCTTCACCATCTTTGTCCCTATTTATTAGGTCTTCTGCTGTCACATGGGAGAGTGGGTGGGAATAATTCCTATTTGTTGTTTTTGCAAAACCTGACCAACTGTGCAAAGTCAAAGTGGTGCTCTGAATGGAATGAGTTTCAGGGATTTGGGAGCTAGATTAGAGAAGTTTTACATCAGTCGCAGACCACAAACTGTTTTATCCTGAAGATGGACCTTGACAAACCCCTCAGTGCAGACGGTCTAATTGCAGCTTAACACTCAGCTTGAAACCTCCAGACTCTTTTCCACAGCCTGACTCTTTGAGTGCTGACTTGGGGCTGTGAAATACCCTCTGTTTATTCTTCAGTGAGATAGCTAAATAAAACAGTTCCATTTCTTTACTGAGGGGGATATGAAGGCTGTGGGGATCACAAACTGCTGCAGTAAGAAAAATAACATCTATTTAGAGTCACGTTAAACATCTACTGATCTTTGTGGAGTGGTGGCAGCTTTGGGACACAATAAAGGAATGAGTAACCCAATCTCTGTCCTCAAGGATTTTCCTTTTCCTTCAAAAGGATCTATGCCTATGAAGTAGATAGAAAATCATATTAAACTAGAAAACTTAATGTTGAACAAAATGGCCCCATGATAAGTGCACTCATTGTTGGAAACCAGGAAAGAACAATGTGGGAAGCTTTTCTGAGCAAGGAAGCTGCTGAATGGAGATGTATCCCGACCAGACAGGACAGATCGCGGGGATGGTGGCGGTTCTTTCAGGAAGAGCCAACAAGATAAACCTAGACAGTGAGAAATGACGGACACAAGCCACGGAGTATTGTGTGTGCAGTCAGGGAGGTAGGAGTTGGGAAGACCAGCCTGCCTTGGAAACACACTTAATCAAACACAAAGCATAGTGTATTGGGTATGCTATAATGTAATTAATTACAAATACCACTCANACCTAGACAGTGAGAAATGACGGACACAAGCCACGGAGTATTGTGTGTGCAGTCAGGGAGGTAGGAGTTGGGAAGACCAGCCTGCCTTGGAAACACACTTAATCAAACACAAAGCATAGTGTATTGGGTATGCTATAATGTAATTAATTACAAATACCACTCAAATTTTAAAAAATGGAAGAGAAAAGCACTTCATCTTTCATCATCATTACATTAGACAATCTATAAAGAAACACTTTTCAAATGATGAGGGTGTATGTTTTATGCAGAAAAAAAGGTTTAATAATTTACCCAATGTCATGGGGATAAACATCCAAATTTAATGACAATTACTTAGCTTTTTATCTTTTCGATAGCATTTTCTTTATATGCTATTCCATTTAACTAAAAAT